CCGCCCCCTAGTGGGTTGAGCTGGCCACACAATAAATAAATAAATAAATAAATAAATAAATATTAAAAAAAATAAATAAAAACAATGTATAGGAATGGAAAAGAGACATTCACAAGTGGTGAGTTTACAACTCTAACATACAGACTTTTAATTTTGACCAAGTACATTTTTTTTCTCTAAAAACTAAGTATGACAAGACAAATGAGGTTGTATGGTAGAGTGTTTATTTGATAAAATTAATTTTTGTGTGTTTTTTTTTTCTTTGAGATAGGATCTTGCTACGTAGTTCAGGCTGGCCTTGACTGCCCAGTGATCCTCTTGCTTTAGCCTTTTCAGTTTTGGGCTTACAGGCATGTGCCAAACCTCTGGCTTCAGGGATATTTAAAAGATAATTGGGCTTGGAGTGTAGCTGAGTGGTAGCATGTGCAAGACCCTGTATCCTCCAAGATCCTTCCCCCCACCAAAAAAAATAATAAAAGAATGAAAGGTAATACTCCAGTGATTCCTAACCAGTGCCTTATTATTTTTTTTTTAAATTTATTTATTTATTTATGTGTGTGTGTGTGTGTGTGTGTGTGTGTGGCCAGTTCAGCCCACCAGGGGGCAGGGCTGGCTGGCATGTGGTGCTGGGGGATTGAACTGTGGGGGGCTGGCTGGCATGTGGTGCTGGGGGATTGAACCGCCGTCCCTGTGCTTTGCTAAGTTTGTTCTAAGTAGGTGCTTTAGACCACTGAGCCATCTCACCAGCCCTAACCAGTGCCTTATAATGAGGAATTGTAATTTTAAGTACTCAACAAAAATGAAAAAAAGAAATCTGGATCTCTGGCTGAAGCTGAGAAGTTTCCATCTCAGATTGGGAAAGAGCATGTGTGTTGCTTAGTTTGGCCTCATGTATTTGCAAGTCCTGTGTCTCTGCTTGCTTCAGCTGCAGGCAGCTCACTCCCACCCCTTGCTGGCTAGTGCCGTTTGTTAGAAAAGTCTTCCTTATATTGAGTTACAGTCTACGCCTTTGGCCCATCTACTCTGTGGTCTTGATACTTTCAAATATTGGAAATTAGCAACCTTACTCTCTCTCTGGATGTTAGTTTTTCTATACTCAAAAGTCAACAGGCAGGTGTATATACAAGGTCTGACTGAAATACATGGTGAATGTTTAAAAAATTACAGTAAAAGATACATTGCTATTAATCCTTATCAGAATATTCCCCCTCATTGTGAACACACTTATCCCATCATTCTGGCCACTTCCTGAAGTGCTCTGGATATTTTCTTCTGGGTTTTTGGGAGGCGTGGGCAGAGATGACTGCTACTGCCATGGCTGCTCCGAAGGAAAGGCAGCAGTCCACCTTATTCACTGAATCTAAAGCCTGTGACTTCTAGCTTTTTCCCAAAGTTGAAACAATCTTGTAATAATTTTGGGTTGAATCAGAACATATTTGTCATGCAAATATAGACATCAGAAAGTAGCAAGAACAATGGGATAACTGTTTGAAGTGAGGGAGAGTATCTTGAGACAAATGGCAATGTAACCTTAAGCATTTACCTCATTTTTTTTTTTTTTTTTAATCTCATTTACGTGGGAGACAGGGAGATACGGGAGGTACAAATTCGTGGGTTTGTGAAGTTTCTGTAGATACTACGCTAGTGAGGGAGGTGGAGATTGTTTGGTGAGGCTGGGTATGTAGGGAAAACTGAGATAGGAGATGGGTCTGATGGTAAGGACAGGCTGTGGCAGAAGAAGAGGAAAACTGGGTGGATGCAGGCATGACTCAAGCCACACTGGTGAGAAGAGGAATGTCTTAAGAGGGAGTAGCTCTCTTTACTGTAAAGAAAGTCTGGCTCTTTCCTATCTTGCAGGATGTCGGGTGAAAAAACCGTGAAGCCAGACACTAAAAAGAAGAAACTTGAAGCCCAGAAGGCTTCTGCCAGTGGTACTGGTAAAAAGGGTAAGGTGAAAAAGGCAAAAAAGTCCAAGAAGGGGCAGCCCCACTGCAGCCGAAATCCTGTCCTGGTTAGAGGAATTGG